TGGGGGTGGGGGGCAGGGGGTCGGTGTGGGGGCTAGTGGTAGATCGATAGATAATGCAAGAATTTTATGCACACACGGAGATCAACTCAACCATTGGCCATGATCCGGTGATCCATCTGATAGATTCGTTGAGGAACGAGCAGTGAATTCGATCGATCGAAGTTAACTGAGTTAACCGAAGGACAACCAAGTTAACAAAGTTAACTGAAACACGAACCAAATTGAAAACTGAGGTGCGATAAATTAAAACTGATTCGATTTTGATTTCGATGTGTATCATGTACGGGTCGTTTCGCGGAATTTCTCAGTGGATCAAGCGCTCTTCGTTTTTGGGATTAGTCAAACTTTGCTTCAGATTCATAGCAGACAAACCAGAGTTTCATATCGTAATCCTTCGTAACGTTACGGTTCGATGATCTGGTAGCAATCTGACAGCCAATGATCAACGTACCTCGGATATGGTCATTCTCCTGCCGCGTCTTTCCGCTTCGCGACGTTCCTCCGCCTCTTTCTTCTCGGACTCGGTGTCCGGGATCAGATCTGTGACATCGTCGTCGTCCAGATCGTCGAACATGTAGTAGTCGCCGGATCTGATTGCTGATCAAAAGAAATCAACCATTCTTAACCACTGCAAGGGTACCCGAGCAATGTCACTTACACTATATTGTGCTAAAGCCATGCACGATATTTCGTTTAGCTTTACAGTTGTGCGTTAAAGAAGACGATACTGCGAAATAATGTACATCTATTAGATCCAGAAAAATTGTTAGTACAATCGCCCAAATATACGTATAACAAACACATATGCACCCGTCACCACCTTGGTATACATGTAAAAAACGTTATATGGCATATACAAATTATACATATATATATACGTATTTAGTATATACAGCGCGAAGTTCTGTAAAAGCAGAAGGGTAGTTAATCAGGATGTGGACACGTCGGTTAGTAAGACAAAGCCCAGATAAGCTGCGGAAAAGAAAGAATAATGTTCATTTACCCTCTCTGTTGGTCTTTGGCACGCGAACTCTGTACAACGGCCGTGTCCCTGGATAGAGAGTATCTAACGGCAAGAAAAAACACAAAGAGGTATAAATAAAAACTGAAAATGAAAGTTGTCGGCGCAGACGGGTATAAATCTATATTACAACAATATACATATATATTACATGTTCAGTAATCACGCCTGAATCCTGGTGTCCGTGGTCAGCAGGATCGATCTGTCAAAATACAGGAGGATCTGTCAAGAAATTAAACGGATTTTTGGATTCGGATTAAACGTTCTCTCTTTCTGCCTATAAAGAGATCGAGAATACATTATGAACATGACGGATGGGAGGGACGTGATGTTCGAACGTGAGAGTGGGATTAAATCAAAAGAACGTACATAAAACGATCTAATCGTCGATATCGAGGCGACAAAAACAAATAACTCCAACTATGTACATCTAATAAGATCCAAGTAGGTTACGACATTTAACAAGGGTCGATGAAAACTCGACGGAAGCGGTAACAAAAAGATATTCTGAATACAACGAAAACAGGAGAGAAGAAAACTTTCGATAGAGAGATCGATCGAGTATCTACACATTAAAAAATCAATACCAAAAAAGACGGCTACTGAAGGGTGAACTAAACTCCGCCATCTTAACGTTGCCGTCCACTCGAGGGCACTAAATACTTTACACAAAAAACAAAGGAATACTCAAACCCGAATACGGATCCTCAAGAAGAACCATCGAAAGTAACGAAAGGAAAGAAACATCGGTGCTTCATAGATGATCTAGAGGTGCTGTCGCGGAAGCGTATGTACAGGACATCGTAGCAGATCGACGACGACGATCTTGTTCCCGTTGTGTCGTTACATGTGTGATGAGATCGCGGGGAACGTGACGTGGTAGAGACGATCGACTGCCTCGGCGTCTGCAACCCGTTCATCCATGGCGGCCCGATGAAGCTGGACTGCCGACGATGTCTCATCGACGAGGTCACCGATCGGTCGGGTGCTCCTCTATCGTACGGTGGCGGAGAGAACACCGGGAACGTCTCGTCCGGGGATGGCCCACGTGGATTCAACTCGCTACTCGGCGGAGAACCGAAAGAAATACGAGTAGGCTCGAGGTAACCCTCGAGGCTCACTGTCATCACAGCGGAATTCGGGGTGGGCGCCTGCAAGAGAGACGCGGCTCGTGGTGTCAACGGGGGTGGCTCGTCCTCGTCCTCGTCGGCCGGCGTCTGATAACCCTGGGGAGGTGTGTGACCGGAAGAGACGCACGAGCTTACGCTGGAAGACCTCGCCAGAGGCGCCTCCCCTTCTTTTTCGCGTGCATCAAATATAGAGAATGGACGTTAGCCTGTGAATAGTCTGCTGGTATACCTACGTCGAGGGTTAGGCTATCTTTGGTTAATTACTGTAGGGTACACGTGAGTTGGAGGGGCGGAAAGAAGAATTGGAGGACTCAGACGGGTCGGTAAGATTGTCTGGAATTATTCAACGATGACGTCATTTCGTCCTGTCAATCTGATCGTCCTATAGTTTAGAGAAAGATCATTAGGAACATTGAAATGATCCTTACCAACTTTGTGCGTCTGTGGTTCTCTGTAACTAGGTCCTTGTATCTTTCTCTGGTTGGCTTTGATCTTGTCCATCTTGAACTTTAGCTTCTGCAGTACGTTCTTTTCGACGTTCTCTTGGATCTCGATGCGTTTCTGGTGCAATTCTTCCAGTAGCTCAGCACCTCTGGATGCCAAGATACTCATGGCCTTCGTTTCGTCTACTATGTGGAAGAAGTAGTAACTCTTGAACAGTCGTTTCTGGAACAACAAGAAGCCGAAGCACAGCCCATCCCAGACCATGCCGATGTCCTCCGGTGGCACCTCGCAATCGAATTTTTCCAGGATTATATCGCTGACGGAACTTCGGAATTTTCTCAGACAAGTTATGCCGAATAGTTGAATCAGTGGACACGCCAACACGTGCAGCTGTAATTTCAAGTTTCATTTGTTGGGTTTGAATTACATTTGACAATTGATAATTTGATAACGAGAAATTACCTGTTTTATCAGCACGCAACCTACACCTTGAAGCAAGGCCTTCGAGAATATCACGACTATGTTGTATCCGATCAAAAGGTTCCACCATTTTAAGATCGTTTTCACTGGCCTCAGATAAAAATCGCTTCCCTGCCAGAGGAACACGAATGCACCGATCAAATAACCCAACGAGAACAGATTGGTCCTCTCTGTCCCAGCCAGGAACATGATGGACAGGGTCACCCACATGAGACTTATCAACACGCCTCGTTTTACTATGTCTAACCAATTATGAATATGCGATACGTAATCCTTCACGGGATTCACGAAGTTCGGGTTTTCCATACTATTGTAGACGGAATAATTGTGACCAGCTGGAAATTCTACGCCTGACGCCGTGCTTCGTTCTTCTATTTGAAAAACGAGGCTTTGTCTGACGACCATCAGTAGCAGGATAAAATCACCTGGATCGGAATCAAATTAAAAACTTCTCTATCGCAAAATTCATCGAGGTGATACGTGATATTCTATCGTGAACCTTACACATTAATTTCCTGGCATTGGGTGGGAAATCGGGATCCGGGAAGTACATCCACTCTTGAAATCTCCTTAAAGTAGCTGATTCGCTCCATGGATACTCTGTAAGTTAACGAAGAGTCAATTTCCCTTTCGTTTCTAAGCGACGTACTTGAAATTTCAACGGTGTAAATGTTTAACAACCTATGCAGAGCCAAGAGGGTGGTGCGACGACGAAGCAATACTGAACAGGTAACAGTATTATGCCAAAGAATTTGAAGACAGGCCAAATTTTAGAGATGGTCCTTCTCTTCAGAGAGAAAAATAGTAGAAGCCATATGCTATACAGGACCGAATAGAAATCCAGTCTCGTTCCAATGAGAGCCACGATCCCGATCAAGCAGAACTCAACGCCAAACTTGTAGAATCCATAATTGAAGAGGAACTTCAAGCATTGAGGCACTCCTTTGTCGGCGTCTTCCCTGGTGATCGATGGAAACATGACTTGAGGAGTATCCAGAGGTTCGTTTTGCGCTTTTCTGTAGAAACACTGTCGAATTCTGATGATCTTTCTGAGGGTAGTAACCACTATGATCCCTATATAACCTTTCAACAATTCTGCCAAGTGTCCTGGCTCTGCTTTCTTTATTCCGAACCATTCTGCGATATTGTACATCGTATTATTGCTGCCATAATTATCTTGACCTTCTCTGGTATGACCCTGCAAACCGATGACTCTATAAAATTTGTTCAGCCAACAGTATCGATTATGTATGTTCGTGTTTACCGTGCAATTGACATTCCAATTGTTATGATCGATATACTGAATCTGATACAGCATTTTTACGACCATCAGAAGAGCAATTATTGCAGCGATAGTATTGGCGGTGCATATTTGAACATTTCTCCGAGAATTAATCATGATGACTAATATCAGCACGAATACGAAATTAAGAGCGCAGACCTGGAACATATTCGTCCAGTAAAAAACAAATTACGAACACTGGATTCGCGGTATCGATTAATTTCCACTCACATCGTTGACACAGAAAAGCATCACGGAAATGAAAATGATCTTTTGCATATGAATTTCGAGAAAGAGCCAGGTATAGTTATAGAGATTCCACAATTGTTCCATTATTTGATGAAATAGCGCGATTCGTTCTAATCTAGACATATCTAAAAATTGGTATAAAATCAATATACTTGTTACGTAATTACTCGTTGAAGAATACATGACTCATCGTACGTTTCAATTGTCCTAAGGTGTACACGGTTTCTTTTTCTTCTTCGACCAGAAAGATTTCTCCTGGAGATGACGTTGGCATGGCTAAAATCGGCGAATGACCAAGACTAGATCGTTCGACTCGAGGACTCTCGTCGGTCCTATGGAATTTTCAATAATTTACCTCATCGAATTATTTCAACAACGATAGCGATATCTCGTACTAACCCGAATTTGTCGATGTTGGTCACTTTTAGGAAATCTTTGTGGAAATAATGGATCTGAAGGACGGTTATAATCACGAAGAACGTTGGCGTGAGTAACCTAACGAAAAGATCCTTAGTCTCGTATTTCTCTAAACCAATGTCCATCTGCAGATTCTCGTCGATATGTAGATAATTCCAGTATTCCGGAAAATTGTGAAACTGATAGGTGTACACGAGAATCAGCATAACCACGGAGTATCCGATGACCGTGAGCCAGAATGGATACATCATCTTCCTCCAAACTGTCCAAGATATCTACGACATAAATCGAGTTAGAGAATAAACTTTTCCAATATTTCGTTCGAAGAAGTTTCACTGTTTGTACGTACTTGGAAGGTAATGACTAGAACAAGGAAGAGAGACATATAAATGATCCTGAACACGGTCATCCGTTCACCGGTGATTCCACAAATAAATAGCATAATGGCCACAACAGCGATCCAAAACTTTGTCAATAATCTCTTCAATAATATGCCAACATCTTTCATAAATTTGCTTTTAATTTCCGGCGCTTCGTGATTCATCGCTGTCGTAGCTGTCGAAACAGAGACGTGTAACGGCGCTACCATGTCTCTCAATGCCGAGGAACGTCTTTGTCTGGTTCTTTCAGCAGTGTATTGTCTCATAGTTATCCAAAACATCGATATGAACAGACACTGAAAAATAATGGGCAAAGTTTCACGATCGATACGATATATTCGACGTTAGTTTGGGGATAATTAGAATAAAATCTGAATATTGCTTTTACTTTAACTACTAAGTGCCACCGACTAAGCTGGTCAGCTTTGCTGAAACCGATCTCCGACATATTTATCCCGTTTACTTCCGTTGGCAGTTCTTCCTCCGTTAAATCCATGCTATAAACGTATTGCACAAGAAGTAAAAACATTGCATAGAAAACGATGAAAGGGGAGCACTTCATCATAGAAGCGCGTTTGTTAGGCACCATCCAGAGAACCAAGGCCCACAGCAACAATGCAAACGTTGTCCAGCTGTGATACATTATGCTCCAAGTCTAATGGACAAACACATTATACAAAGCGAATAAAATAAAATGAAATAAAATAAAAATGTACGAAACGCTATATTAATTCTTACCATCATTATAATATTCGTGGCGAGATACGACGAATTGATTATCAGCTGGAAGATCGAGTACACAGCCATGATTATGTGTTCGATAATTCCGGACTGTTCATCTGGAGCAGCTGGAAGAGCATTTAATTAATTAGTATGCCTTGTTCTCTATCGTTCGTATAAATTGACGTAATGGAACAAACTTTCACTAAGACTCTGCATTTGAATGTTGTCATCCTGATGACCATCCTGGACGATGACGCTTCCGGTTGAGTCTTGCAGCAGCCCCGTTCTCCCGGACCCGAATCGCATCAGCTGTTAATACCATTAACAATATTAACGCGTATACGCTGAAAACAAATCCTAAGTACAACTACATCGCGTTCTATGTTTTATACCATTGTTTCAATTCTATCTAAATACATGATCTATGGTGCAAAATTTCGTTCGCCAAGCGGTACATGCAAGCTATATTTATATGGAATGACGATACCTTTACCAATAGCCGGAGTAAGAATTTTTGAAATATAAAAAAAATTGTTAAAAAAAAAAATGTATATATAAAGAAACAATAAAAAAGAAAAAAATGTGTTTAAGTATACGAGACAAGCTTGTACGGATACGTAAGAGTTATTATAGCGAAATAAGTAGACAAAAGTAATCATCGTGATAATCAAACGTGCAAATTTAATCATTATACGTACGGGTGTGCGCTCGTCGGCAGGTGGATACGACGAAATAACGTTCGGCTTCTAAAACAATGGCAAACTAAACATAGTGGCATCCAAACGGAAAAGGAATTTGCTCAGCATTAAAGAACAACCGCACATCTGGAAGGCGACAGCAAATAAAAACTCGGGAGTAGTCTGAATGAAGATGAAGTGTTAATCGAACAAAAAGATCTTAACATAAAATATACGCATTCTTCTTAAATTACTTTGGCCACGCTTGCCGATCAAAAATACAGAGAAGGGGGCAAAAATGAGGAAAGTAAAAAAAATGTCATTTCACGAGCACAGCATTCGATGGCAAAATGTACAGCCGAAATAAAATCGTCTAGAATGAGAGAAAGTATCGAAGCACGACTAATAAAGGAGTATCGAAAAATTCGGCTCATGCAGGACGAGATCCTTACGCGAGCCTTTCGTCGCGCCGATTGCCATCTTTGAGATGGCGTCCTCCTCCTGATGGAAACGTGCCTGGACAACGGAGTGTCCAGATTCTCCAGCTTGCCGCTCAAACGTTTCACTTTCTTTGCCTGTAAAGCCTCGTTAGTAAAAGCAACGTTTTCTCAAAGGAAGGTCAGTGTTACAGGATACGCTTGTAAGTTCGTTCGAAAGTTAGTGAAAAGAGAATCGTAGAAGCTTAGATATAGTGTTACTCTGCCGATATCGGTGTTAATCTTTCTCCTCAACCGCAGGAAAGTTAATCGAGTCAGTGAAAGACACACAGCACGCGTCGTTAAAGTGATTCATGCTTAAAGTGAAGCTCCGATTAATTCGTGGCTCGTGTTTTATATAGATCATTTCCGAGTACCTAGATATACAAGGCATGCTACTAGGTTACACTCGCGACTGAATCTCGCAGCTGATTGCCTTGACCCGATCGATTACAGTCTTAATCGATAGGACGCTACATTCGTCTGAATATTTAACAATTCTCACGTTTCGATCTTTAACGAGACTCCGCTACTACATCCCCAAAACTCGTCTAGTATTTATTCGCGAAACAGCTGTTCCAGATTATTCCGACACTAACGTATTCTCCATTGAGGAAACGGAAACGCACGGACAATAAACTCACCGGCTTTTTACTCAGGAACTGCGACTGCAATGCCAGAACGTAATAGAGCCAAAATAGCCTGAGAAAGTAGCCATAGATCAACCAATCGGCATCTTCCGTATACTCCACGTTCTTTGCATCCGTGCAGTTCGTCTGATAGATAGGTGTCAGTGCAAAGTAACGCTGCCAGGTACTGTTAACGGGTAGCAACTCTTGCGGCAATTGATTTTGGTAGGTGATGAGAGCCAGGATGTGAAGGGTCACCACGACCATCACGAGCCTGCATAGTATAGCGAAGCCCTTTCGTAGTTCTTTGTTGCACGCCCACCAAGTAGCGGCTCCCAGAAAAACGAGGAAGTAAAAACCACCCTCCACAGACGGTTTCAGGGATGCTGTGATGCATAACGATGCTAGAACCACGTAGGTCCCGATACGTCCTAGGAAGTTGATGATCTGAGCACGGAAGGTCGCGTTAGCTCGCAATTCTCTCGAGAAATGAGTCAATTAACTCTGCATTCGTGATTCACGTGCGTTCGACGAGTGGCGAGTTACGGAATCGAAGTTTATCGGTGTGAGTCATTGTTTCATTGACTAGTACCTTGACAGTTCCATCCACGGTTTTCTTCGACGCCTCGGTGTTTCGATGCAACGAGGAATCGTCTTCTTCGTCAGGGACGGGTTTTTGTGTCAAGGAACGACATATGAGATACACTACTATGCTAGCGGGCAAGACGATTAAGTCTGGCACCAACCAGAAGAAAATCTCCCAGACGGACGCGCTAATTAGCTTTACCAAACCTATATGCCTGAAGATCACTTCCAGCAGTTTGCCTGGAATTTGTAGAACGCGAAACTTTATTTAAATCCGAACTATAATTAGCAGTTATAAGTAGAAATTAGCAGGAATACTCCATTCTGGAAGTAGTTACGTACAGCTCTGAAAGAAGGGTCGCAAAGAAGGCGCAGCCAATAAGACTATGTGGAAAGTAACTTGAATGGTGGTTGCGAGAAATGACAGACCGATGCAAGATTTTAGGTAATGACCCGTGTGGCCAGCCATCGTTCGGGAATCCGGAATGGGCACGTGGGGCGCGTATAGCGTCAGCACCAAGTAAACCAGGGACAGTCCTACAGGTCGCCATATCGTACCTGTTTAATTCCATAAATAAACATCTTAAATATATTATTTTCTTTCAACATTTCTTACTATCCCTATAATTTATTACTCTCGTCGTGTACGCAACAAATTGCGATTTAAAAGACACTGTCATTCCGCGACATTTTCCGAGTTATATTTGTCACGGGCAGAGATGCATTTCATTTCGCTGGTGCGAGAAGAAATGGGGTAAAAGAAAGGTCAATTTCAACCAGGGGACTTCAAAGACGAAACCGACACGGCACTGACATTTCACTCCCTTGGATCTCCCAATGAAACCCAACAATTTACGTACACGGATGACATAATCATCGGTGTGTCATCGCATCCAACGGCCGCTTCGAAAGCAACGCTAAGCACATCGGTATGCATGGATCATATGGTTCGTAGGATGGAACACATGCGCGGGTAATCAACTGGAAATGGCGCCGGACATTTGGAACGTTAATTGCTTTCTCTTCGTTTGGAAGCGTGAAACACGATTAATTCCGTTCCGGAACGTCTTCAGAATTTCTTGCGAGGAAAATCTACGCCGAAATCGTGCTCGAAAACTCGTTTCATTTTGCTCCAGTTCACGTAGTCGACTCTATGAAAGCACTTTCTATTCGGAGAGTGCATTCTGCTTACTATTTTCTCTTCGCCATGTGCACGAACGAAAAGTTTGACCGGCTGCCAAGCAAACTCGAGTATGTGCCATTCCTCGTGTACCCAACGCTCTAACGAATTACTCCGTTATTCCATTATTCGCAACCTTTTGTAGCTTCCTCTCATTCGCTCCGACATGCCCTCGTTCCAAGCGAAAGATCGAAATAAGAGGTGCGCGGATTGTTCAATTGCCGGTTGCATGGTTACGAAGAATCGTCTGACTCGTACACCGTTGCTTACGCGCGCGCACGTGTTCTGGCTGCGTGCCTTTTTTTTCAGACAGCATCGTTAATTATAGAGACCACGGACAACAAATTACACCGACCAGCTCCTGCAACGCGATAATTCCAGCGATAACAACGTTACATTCAACCAACTTCGCAATGTCTGTTCCTTCCTCACGGTCGATCGAGGTCAGAAGATCAAAGCGGTCTCGAAATTATCATGACCGATAAAACGAATGCTCAAGGCGGGTCAGAGCTTTCGTTCTAACGTGGTTCCTTTTGTCGAGATTTAACGATGTTACGATACGGCTTATTGGACAAATAACTCGACAGACTCAACGGCGATCGAGGGGAATTGAAGATAAAGCTAGAATTCGTCGAACGAAGCTCCTCACCTAAGTATAAACCGAGCCTAAAACGTGTCCCGACGCTGTTACCGTGGAATGTCCCTGAGCTTTTTCAGATTTATACGTGTACACGTGCACCTCGAACTTCCGACCGTGTTCGAAAACATTCGTTTTTCATTTTATCCAACGTGGGAACGACGAGTTACGTCATTAATTATTCTTGGAGCATACGACTCTATATTTCTGCTCGATTCACCTTGTTTCGCCCGAAGTTAATGACAAAACGTCGATTGGCATTGGGTTATTTTGGAGGCATTCTTCTTCGTTGGAAAGGAACTTACGCCCATTGGCGATTACGTTATTTACGATATACCGTGACGCACCGTGGAATGATCTAGCACATGTGGCGCGGTGATAACGCTCTGATAATTAATGGCAATATTGAACTAACCACGGTAATAGAATGGTCAACACGCGAAATCTTCGATTCGATATCAATCAATTTTGCAGAACAGATTGCGATGCGATACGAGAGTATTATTACGTTGCAAGAATAATTAATTTCGCGACATTTCCATTGCTCTTAACGATAGGTGTATCGGAGGAAATGTGAAATGCGAGAGGAAAGGACACGAATTCTTTCGCTTTTCGATTCATCTATTTCTAGATTTTACCTTGGAACCGAGTTTTCAGTTTCACACGATCCATTCGCTTTCAACGGGATCGGTACGAGTACGACCTGAGAGGTCAGTAGTCGATTACGGATCATGGCTATTTTAACACGATGATATCACTGAGGTGTTTCCATCCACGATTTTTCCATAAAAAACACATCGATTTATTAAGATTTGCGTGTCCCAGAACCTGTATTTCGTCTGGCCTCGATTCGAACTTAAAAATTCGAAATTTCCAATTGTTAAGGTGAACGAGAAATTCTACTCGGATAAATTGATTTTCTACCGCGACTATAATGACTTTTATCAAACATCCTATCGTAATGTGACGTATCACTTCCTCAAAGCTTATCATTGGAAACGGAACACCGTTTATATCTGCTCATCCATTGCTATACGAAGTAATCAAAGAACATCGTAAACGAATAATTGTACATTAAAATTTATGAGACAAATCGACCTATGGAAAACCATTAAATACCGAGGATTTTAAATATCCGATATTTCAAAAATTTTTAGTCTAATTCGATCACACTATTCGAAGAACACTGGAAACGAATAATTGAACGAGTAATTGTACATTACAATTTATGAGACAAATCGACCTATGGAAAACCATTAAATACCGAATATTTTAAATATCCGATATTCCAAAATTTTTTAGTCTAATTCTCCGATTATTTTAAATAAAGAAACGACGAAATGTTCAAGATTGAAAAAAGAACGCTGTAACGATGACACTCACATCCTGTCAAGACAAGGGGCAGCACAACCCTGAGGAGGGCCACGTTCAGCCAATACTTCGACATGCCTGGATCTGCTCGGATGGCCTTTCACCCTGAAACAAACATAGAGAAGAAAGTTACTCGTAAAATTGTCCACCGTGTACGCTGTCAACATCTCGAGATTTTGCAGCGGCAATGTCAGCTCGACTGGAATCGATACGACACTGCCGCAGTCGGATACCTTTAACCTCGTTTTGCCATGAGACGCGGCACCACCGTTCTTACACTCGGCCTTCGTTTTTACAACCGACCTGACCCCCTAGGAATTTACGCTCTATAGAATTTTACTGCTCCAGTTACATCCTCCCCTTCCACGTAGATTTTTCAAATCTACGCGAAATCGTCGTACATCGGAGCAGTGACATTTCCTGATACGATTTGCCGATCACCGTTCTACTGACAGGACGGGGTTAATCCGGTTTCATCGTATGCTTTCTGCTTCTGGGTTACGCGTCTCATTTGATTAAATTTATCGTCGCGAATGGGTCAATGAAAAGTTGACTAGGTAGCCACGCGAGACGTTGACAAGTCATAATTTGTGGTAATTTAATTCGACCATGGTACTCTTCGAAAAGTACTATTGTCATTTACATAACGTCGCCATAATTGCTCGTAAAACGTCGCGATCGAGTGTTGATACTCCGAAAAAAGTACCACTTTTATTCACACGATGCTGTCATAATTGCTCGTAAAAAATTGCGATCATGCCAAGCATTAATCGAGCTCGAACTTGTGTATCTGGCAAGTGACGAGCCCACCATCTGCACCCATTTCCCGCTTCCGTACAAGATTTCAACGTCTCCGCGAAACCACGTGATTTCCGATCAATTTAGCGTCTCGTGTGTCATTCTGAATACATCGAGTGTAGGAGGAAGGATCGATTGCCAGAAAAGAAGGCGAGGTTTCTTCTAGACTCCGTTTCAACTTTCATGGCTATGCTTTCTTTCTGTTATATTGGCGGGATTACAGTCGCATGTTTATAGCAGGCTCGATGAAAGGGGAATCGAAATAAGAAGTTTGAAATTACCTGAATGATTCTAAGAAGCAAAAGAGCTTCCAACTCGCGGGTATTTCGATAAAAACAGGCACGCCCAGCTTAATTATCGAGCAATTATATGGGGTTGGTTTACTCGTTCCGTAAAAGGTGCGTCCACCTGTTTTCAGAATCACCTTTCCTATCGTCCGACCATGATAGCGAAATTACAGCGTAATGATAATATTCCCCTGTCTATCGTTAATACGAGACGTTGTTCGAGGAACGAAATTCACGGTGGCATCGTTTTATTTAATTCCGAGAAAACAATATGGGATCTAGCCCGAGAATTTCAACGATCTTTGGTTTTCCGTGGATTTCGAGGACACCGGGCATCTCCGTTGCTCATTTGCATTTATCTCGAACAGAGGCCGCCTCTCGATGCCTGCCCGTGCTTCGACAGACGGATGCATGCACAAGATATTATCGTTTGACCTAGATGAAAGGCTGCGGATGAAGGATTTAGTGGTATCATAAAGCGATTGTTAAGACGTTTTCCTACCTCGCGATTACGGAAAGATAGGGTCGGGAATGGAAATAGCGATCTGAATGCCATGATCGTAACCATCTATCAACTTTTGTCATCAGCATGCTATGCCATTCGAGCACCATCGCGTTCGTCGTTCGCGACTCAAATATCGTGCCACGAATCGCTTAGGTAATTAAGTAACAATTGCTATCTGACTCGCAGAGTCTGTTCGCTTAATGAAAATCGAAACGGTAGCTCGATATTTCGCCAGCCCTGAACGCGAAATTAAGTTACGAAATGTCAACGATTTCCTGCTCGAGTTGAAGAAAAATTCGAGTTATTTCGCGGTGAGTTACCTTGCTTCGCGCATGGCTTCCTGCATCGCTGAATTGCTTCTGGAGGCGTGACATTAAAAATGCGCGTACGCTGGATCATTCGAGCAGTGATATATGTATCCTTCCCTTTTATCTAGGGCTCTTTTGTCGTCTTTCAACGAAGACACGGGATAACGTCCTCTCCCTCATAAACAATCAAGATAGTAACAGGATGTGGGGTACGCCTACTCGAATATTTTCAACGATACATCGTTCTAACGTCATCGTTAGGCAGACGGGAAAAATAAGGAAATTGAAGAGTTGGTAAAAATCTTTGGAAATTCACCCCGCGGATATTTCAGACAAGCGTTTAACCGAGCGACACGGGCAAAGAGAATAAATATCGTTGAAAAACAGCGAAATGGTGATACTCGAGAGACTTGTTGTGAAGAAGGCTAGGGAAAGGATACTCAGCCGCTATGCATTAAGCGTATTTAAGTTACTTAAGAGACTCGTGCACGTGAAGCTGCATTTTAATCAACCGCGTGTCGTCTTCCGCTGCCTAAACCGGTTTGAGAAATATTACGCGAATTAAATGACAGTAACGCTTGTTATTTCGATTACTTTCGTCTCTTTCGCGTTCTGTCGGGATTATCGTACGGTACACGAGGTACCTGGTACTTTTATTTCGAAACGTATTTATTTCTGTTCCATATCCGAGCTATTTTTGCCTCAAAAGTCATCTAATCGCGTCGTTCGCGATAATTATCTTATCCGACAATTAACATTCGAGTCTGGCGACTTATTTCATAGATTTACGTCGACCGTGCGTAGGATTATTCGATTTATATTCCTTATCTGCGAGGAACACGTGCCAACTTCGTTCAAAGGAAACTACGACCGATACGGAGCGAACGGTTGCAAGGAAGTGGCAGCCGTGGTTTAATTAGTATTCGTCGATTTACCGAGGATCAATGTCGATGACAGAGGCATTGTGGAATCTCGATAATTCCAGCTTGCGACGTTCTAGGAGTGAAACTGCCTCGACTTCGCTGCGGATAACGTCCAGCATTTTGTTATACGAGACAGGTTGGCTCGTTTCTGAATGAACACGCGTGTCTGCCATTGTTCTCCCTTCGTAGCAACATTCGTTAACTTTTAAACACGATAAGGGGACAAAGGGACGAAAACCATCACCCTCGCTCTCACCAGCCCTCTCGTTAAATGTTAATTAATCCGCAACGCGTGCTACCCGGTACAGGAAGCACGAAAAGAGCGTAATAAATGATAGCACGACGCGTATGTACGACACGTAGTGGTCTTCTAGGAATAATTAATTTCGCCTTTTCAAGAAGCTCGCGCTTTGATTCCCGCTCGCCGCGTTCTATTAAATTCCTAGGATAGCCATTTACAACGAAGCGCGTACACGTTGCGTGCGGCTCTTGCGTAGGTGCGTGCCGCACGCGATATAAGAGGGCTTTATTAAGGGAGTGCACGATCCTCGTTACGCTTTCGGGGTGAATATAATTCGAACATAATTACCTGACATGTCGATAAGCAACGGTACCCCATGAAAGTTATTTAAACGTTTCATCTAAACTCGTATCTTGTCCTTTACCAGTTTTATTTCTTCGCATAATTGCCCGTTGTTTCCTGTTCCTCTAACTTTTTATACAAGTTAATTCAGAGATGATATTTCTATCCATCCAATACGAGCATTCGTGTTATTAAGATGGGAAATTATACTCTTAATGATACCTGTGGCCGATCAAGATGAAATTTAGAGAGAGGGTTAAGGAGGAGAGTGCATGTCGAATAGAGAATTATAGCTTCGGGAATTTAATATTTTCCGGATTAGAATATTATATTGGGAATTAATATTTCCTGGATAAAAGAATAAAAATTTGAGATAGGAGGAGCGAGGTCATTTTCCATGGGACACCTTGTATATTTACTCACTGATGGACTCAAAGCGTGCCGTTACTGACACATTGTATGTCTCCAGCAGGAACCTAATCGACGATGCACGCGAGGGCTATTACACACCAAAGATGTTTGCGTGTGTATATATACGTGTTGAATCGTAGTATAAAATTCACGTTTCTTTGTTAATACCTGGGAAACTATTTTTCCAAGATGAAATCTTATATTTCGCATCTATTCGCACTCCTTCACCCACCCTCCTAATTTCACATCGATCAGCCATGGGTGATACTCGGAAAAATATCCTAGACCCATCAGTTGCTACTGCAATAGCACTGTCGTCGCTGTTTGTACCAATATATATCCATAAAGTCAGCATTGCTAATAGTCACGCTCCTTTACGTAAGTCACTTATAATCTTCAAAGGCTAAGGTTAATACCTCCTAGGTGACTAACTTTTCTCAAACGAAAAGTATCTTGTCTCGCAGATAAATACCTTATCCTCACACCGGTGTGATACTTCAAAATGGCCAGATGTCGACTGTATTACCCGATCACATCGACATGCATCGTGGACATGTACATTTGTCGAACTCGCGATACGTATACTATCGACACACGAGGTCGTACGCAAATTTATAGGAGAGATACGGAAAAATAAGCGAGTCGTACACAAGACCATTCACCGTTATCATTGTCAGGACAGTCGACGTTTCAAGGAGCAGTGGACCAAAATATTTGCCCTCGGACCGGTGTCTCCCTGTTCCATGTACAAGACCGTGCTCCGGGGTAAACAAATCGATGCGGAAGTTCCGTGAACGTTTGGCTCGATCTTCGTCCTTCCTACCACTGCCAAACCGTAAACTAGAGGAATGTCAACTGGTTTTACGAGCGATTCGCGTTTCAACCGCGTGGAACGAGCACTCGTGCTCCGTAACACGGAAGTCCTGATAAGAATTTTGGAACGCTGCAATTTATTTTGTAGTTTCTACTTATCTCTCGGAATTTTTATCGCGTTTAATAAGGTAAAATATTCCTAGCAGTGCGAGAATTTCGAGACGATAGTCTTTCTCGCAAATTTTCTCATAAAAATACGAGAAACGCGTGAATTTCTACGTTCCTACCATCGAACGAAGAAGAAAACCTATTGTTCCAGAGAATCGTTGTTACGTTAGATATGACCGAGGGTATGAATCATTACAGCAATTATCTACTCTCCCGTCTACGACTCACTAGATATTTGCTCAATTTTCAATAAACTGGTCGTTAATTTATCGCTTCTGATTGATTTACCGAAACCAATTAGGTTTTTCTTCCAATAGGCCTAATAATTATGGCTCAATTTTCTCATAAGATGTGTCCAACTGCATTTCCCGATCGCAGCAG